TATCCCCCCCCCCCCCCCCCCCCCCCCCCCCCAAATCCTTAATAGCTCGGGAAAAGGCTTGGTAAAGGTCTTCTGTCCTTGGCCTCAAAGCAGAGTGTGGAAGCCTGGGCTGAGTGTCCTGGCTCTGTCATGCACAGGGGAGTGCTGAGAGGAGAAGGGAATTAAAACAGCCAATTTGCTGCGGAAAGAGCTGCCACATCTAGTTAGTAGGGAAGCAGCATGAACAGAGGTGTTGTAAAGCTGGTATTATTTGTCTGGGTTGCAAGAAGGCACTTGGATGCAATTCAAAGCAGATTCAAAGTGTGACTATATTTTGGAAGACTGAGTAGAGACAGGTGGTAAAGGAAGAGCTTGTTCGGGTTTTTGCCACTAGTTAGAAATGGGATGATCAAGGTTCTGTTCTTACTTCCCTTCTCCCATCTAACCTGAATGCCCCAATTACCAAACTGTATGTACCATATCCCCCATGTTTCGTTCACACAAAAGAAGCATGACTGCTTATTCAGGTATTTGTTATTTGCCTTAAAGGGTAGATTTGGGGTGCTTGTCCAGGCTTCCAGAATTGCTAGATCATCTGACACGAGGCAGTATTAAAGCATCATTTACTAATGATTACATTTATGTCTCTGAATGCATACTATTTTTAACTTGTGATGAGGGGTACATACTCAGGTTGGTGACTAGAACAACTTATCTAAGGCTGTCTATGGAGATCATGTGGTGCTGCTTCAGAAATATTTAAATTGTTACACAACAACTTTTTGAGAGGGGAATAGACAGACAAGAATGTGTGAGCAATGACTGAGGTGGAGAGGGGCTCCGGCTGATCAATTTATTATAAAAGCTGTTCTGTATAATCCTACCAAGGCTGCTTTCTGTTTTTTAAACCCTTAGTTAACAAACACAGACAAGATTGGAACAAGTTAAGGAAGATGAGGAAGTTAAGCTAGAATAAAGGATAGGTGGTAAATTATCCTTTAATTCTTTACTGTTATACAGGCTAGCCTACCTGGTCTGCTTGTGCTTTCTTCAGTCACTGTAGACACCTAGCAAAGGAAACCCCATTAAGAAATGAGGTTCTGTGATCTGCAGCTGTATGGCAAGATGGCATAAAAACAACATGGTTTCCCAAAGCTACTGATCAGCACATGTTTAGCACTTGATCCGGAAATCACAAATTAAACAACATATAGAGTACTCATTTTCTTTTTCCTAGATAGCTCAGATCAATGAATTGTACTTCAAATACTGCATTAAATATTTTCTTTCTCCTTTTGAGAGCTAGCACAATATCTTGATAATAGCTGGCCTATAGTTGTTCTCTCAAGTGAGTCTGTTCATGAAAGTTCTCAGTCTGGAACTAAAATGAGAATTATACTTCCTTTTACTGAACTAAATGTGTAGATATTATTCTTTAGCCAACTTATTTTCTGGGAACTATCTTATAAGGATTCTGGTACAGTGTTAGAATTGAAGCAAATACACTAGAAATAAGCTTATGTACCGTGAGCCCCAGAAGCTCGTAAGGCTTTTGCCTTCTGTGAATGCACATGTCCTAAAATCTTCCTTTATTCAGAACCCTATGGCTTTTGTTTAATTTTCATAACAAACTACTACTCTTCCTACAGTTTTCTCATTCTTGTGTTGTCCTGAGAGCGAATATCAATGGAGACATGGTGTTCTTTCAGGCTGTCTTCATGAGAAATAAACTTGTAAAGAAACCTTTTTGTTTTGTAAGATAAGCTCTTAAGTTCCTGACCTGTAAAGTTGCTTGAAGTAGTCAAGATACTTGAATAAATAAAAAGGTTGTAAGGAGGAAATTAATTTTACAGGTGATCTTTCTCGCTGCCTATTCATATGAGGAATACTTCTTATCAAAAGTGGCCACTTGCCCAGTCTAATTCCAACACAATGAGGGCAGAAAACTCCACCTGCTCCCCCAGAAGGCTGTAGGGAAGTCTGGTTTAATATATGTGCTGCGGACTGCAAGTAAAAGTTATCACTAGTGAAAAACTACTTCGTAATACATGTCCGTGTTTAACAATCACAGCCAGGAGATGTGGAACATGTGGAAAACAGCACGAAGAATCTTGAAATACCTGGAATATTAAGATGCTACTAAGTGGCCGCTGCCCTGTGCAGCGGGAGAGATGAATCCCTGGACTGTTGGGATGCAGGCAATTAATGCTACCAACAGGGAATCCAATTTTCCTTCTGCTAATCAAAAGACTCAAGTACTGTGCAAGCTGGCTTCAGCCTTCAAGTCGTATGGCAGCACTGCTTCTGTGCTCAAGTTGCTCTGTGGAAAACACAGAGGATTTGAGTATAATGCAAGGAACCTCACAAGTGAAAGTTTAGATATTGCAGCCCTCACATAGATTTGATGTACCTGATTCTGGTGAACTGGCCCCAGGATCTATGTACTGTGCCTCACCACGTGGCATAGAAAGTGGCCCTACAAACAGAATTGCTCATTGGTTTTAAGATTGGTTTAAGATGGGTTTACTGTAGCAAAATACTTGTTGCGTTAGTTAAGCTCTCTGCAATAGAGACTTACCTGGAACAGTTGCAGCAAGAACCAGAGGTGCTGAAAGCAGAAGCCTGTGTGGAGTTGTTGGGCTCCACACCTCCAAAGAAAGTCCAGTTGTAAACTCAGCTCTGAAAAGGCATTGGGTGAGAACATGCAAGAACCTGAGGTGTTCGGATCCGTAACAAGCATAATAAGTTCAACTTAGTTGAAATACGCAATATTTCTTTCTTATGTTTTCATACATAAAACTTGGAAAGCATGTTTGGTATTTATTGCATAATATCTGGAGGCTTTTTGTTTTAGGTTAAAAAAGAAGTTGGCGATGTTAGCATCCTAGTCAACAACGCTGGTATTGTAACTGGGAAGAGGTTTATTGATTCTCCAGAGGCGCTTGTGGAAAAAAACATGGAAGTGAACATAATGGCACACTTCTGGGTAATACCTGTACTTTGCATATATGTACTAAAACTTCCTTTTAACATGTTTTCAGTGTTAATTTTGCCTTTTGGAATTGAGGAAAATATGCAAGGATATATAGTTCTTTGTAAGTTCAGTCAGAAATGATACAAGAAATTACTTTCTGTGCCTGGGAGTCTGTAAAATAAAAAAAAGTGGAAGAATGGATCCTTTGGGGACTTCTGGGGTAGGTAGGTGGAAGCAAAACTGCTTCGTATTTAGAAATACTCTCAAGAACTGAAGTTTACCATCTGCTAAATTCTGAAGCTAGTCATATGTTATAATCCCTCAATATTAATTGACGTGAAGCAGGCCCAGCCTTAAAGTTGCTGCTCTAGTAACAGAGAAGTGTTCAATTCTGATAGTTGCTTTGTGGTTATGATAGTTTCAGTAAGAAACACCACATGTTCAGGCAACGCTCTTAATAAGTGGGGCTTTTGTCCAAAATGAGTAACTTCATGTGCTTTTTCTTCCTTCCAGGGAAGGCAGGTCATCTATATGGTGTTCCTATCACAAAGAATTGCAAAAGGGATGTTAAAAAATGCTTCAGTTTCTTCAAAAATAAATCTAATCACAAAGATGAAATGAATTTAATAGGAGGAAGACATGAAATTCAAATTTTTGCCATTTTACAAAATTTGCAGTGAACACAATTCTTATTTGAAACATTGCAGTGCTGAACTTTAGGCTGAAAGAAACTTAACAACTAGCTGAAGCTATACCTTTAGCTTTCAGCAAGTTACATTTGTCTTCGGTGTTGAGGAGAAAGTGGTACTGGTGGGGCCTGGAAAGTCCCAGCTTAGTAGTTGAAGGTTAGAGTTCAAACAACTATTTTTTCTTTTTTTTTTTTCCCCCCTCCCTTCCCCCCCTCTTCCATAATGGAAGGGGGGGAAGTTATTTAAACTGTAGGGAGAATTTCTTTAATAACAACCCCTTCAAAATACTATAGCATGTAGCTTTCTTAGTAAAATGTTTCATTGCAACTCTGACTTACATTGCAGACTTACAAAGCCTTCCTCCCAGCAATGATGGCCTCTAACCACGGACACTTGGTTAGTATTGCAAGCTCAGCGGGACTGACTGGAGTTAATGGTCTTTCAGGTAGTGTATTAAAGCTAATGTTCATTTAGACAATTAGTTTGATTTAAACTCTGCAATCAATGCTCATGAAAAAAAATCCTAATTTTGAGTTTCTGGGTCTTTGCGTATAGGTAAACCAAATGGTCATATTTTCAAACCAGCTGACCTTAAATAGACTATTCCTTTCAAAAGAGTCTTCCAGATGCTCAGCAGGGCTGTGAAATAGGTTTTTCTGCCAAGGAAGTTAGAGGATCTAGGAGCCATGTAGAACTTGGGAAACTGAGAACTTCAATGTTGTTAAAGTTAACCTGCAGGTATTTTGTGGGGAAGAGGCCTCTCTTCCCACACCCCCCCCTCCATGTTCTCAAGCTAAGCAGAGTCCTGTACAGGTTTCCCTAACTCAAAGAACTACTAAAATCCAGATGTGGTACAGAGGCAGAGGTACGATATCTCATTTTACATTCTCTGTCTCTCAGCCATTCATTCAAGGGGACCCATACAGTGATGCAAAGAAAGTGTTGAGATTAGGGCAAACTCTGAAGGCATTTCTGGAAAACGTATACAAAGGGGGAGGAAAATGAAATAAGGTGACATAGCAGTAAAATAAATCTGGCTTCAAGGCAGTGATAATGAAGACAAATTGAGTTTCAAGTTGAAACCACATTAGAGAGTCGTGAAAGCTTGAGTTTGATGCATAAGAATCCAGTGCATGGATTCAAAGATAAGGTCTGGTATGAAAAGATAATTTCATTTGCTGTTGTTCAGTAGAGAGTGGAAAGGTGATAGCAGGGGTGCAATGAGAAACTCTCTGTCTGCCAGTCTAGAACAACAGTTAACTTAAGAGAGGAAAAGTAAAGAAGTTAATCACATCAAAGGCAAATTTTATTGGTAACCTAATCCTGAAAACAGTTCCTACTCTGTTGTAAAGTATTTTAATATCGGACAGTATTTTTCTGCAGGTACTGTGTATATATCATTTCTATACTATAGTGCTGCTGCTGTATACTGAAAAAAAAACCACCAAAAAAATGCACAAAAAAACCCAAAACAAAAACCCCATGGCTAGTTTACTTGCTAGAGCATAGTTTTGTCCCTGTTCTCTGTCAAAAACTGTTACAGCTCCTGTGTACATGTTCAGTGGTAGGACTCACTGAACCTGTTTTTTTTAATCAGTAAATTAAAATGTTTAACTGCAATTAATGTTTTATTTATTTTACAGATTACTGTGCAAGTAAATTTGCAGCAGTTGGTTTTGCAGAGTCAGTTGACTATGAGATGAGAAGTCTGGGAAAGACTGGTGTTAAAACCACAATTGTGTGTCCTTACATCATAAACACAGGAATGTTTGATGGCTGTAGAAGCAAGTGAGTAAACTCTTGTGAGGTTTTTATGCAACTTGCATGTTTAGCATGCTACGTACTCCTATTTCCTTTATGAAAATCATGAGCTAGGCTTTTCTCTGCTTGTGTTATTTTTAGGGCCTCAGATGGGTCTTAACAGTGCTATCCAGTGACTGAGTAACCCAAATGGCAAAGCCCTCAGTACTTTACTATTCATTTAAGCTGAAACGTGAAACATAATTGGTGTCCTTTCCCCTGCAGAAGCCAAATGCTCCAGTTGTCCTCTCTGGTTTCCAAACTCCCATTCACATCCTGAAAGCAGTGGCATAGCTTTGCTCAGTATGCTTGTATAATGACAAATTTAGGAGCTAACTAGAAGCCTAGTGTGTCTTAATATGAGGACTATGTGGATTTCTCTTGTTATTTTCCCTTTGTATGATCTCTCACAATGGCCACTCACTGTCTAACATAACGAAGGTTCTGTTGTTCACAGGATTTGTGGTATTTATTTCTTCTTTTAGTTGAATAACTGCAAAATGGAGGCTTATTTTGAGTAAAATATGAATCCAAAGCAATTTGTATTATAGTAAGAAATGTATTCTCTTCCAGGTGGCCAAATCTGATTCCCACTCTGGAGCCAGAGTATGTGGCTGAGAAGATAATCACTGCTATTCGGCAGGACCAAGAAATATTGCTGCTACCACGCAGTCTTTATGTTTTACTCTCTTTAAAAAGGTAAGTTATGCCTTTCCTTCTTTTCCTCTATCTCTTTTCTGTCCAGGGATGTTTCAGCTATTTTTTTTTTTTGACTAAAAGCGCAAACCAGGCTTCTACTTGTTGGTGTGAATCTTCATTAAGTTCAGCACATTTCTGGAGGTTTCTTTTTTTCATTTCTAGGGGTTCGGTCTACCCTTGGACCACAGAACAATGACAGAAATGTCTAACTGATTTGCTGACTCCACTGGGGTGCAGTCTTACTGTGGGCTGTAGAGACTGGGCCTGCTCCTCAGTAACTGCATATCTGGTGTCTTGGCCCCAGCATTAGGGCACTTCTGACCCTGTTGCAAGCCAGGTTGGGGAATTGATCTGTCTAATAACTCAGGCTGCCAAATGAGTGTAATGGATATTTTGAGAGGACCAGTGGTACTGTATTCTAGAGAGTATACTGTCTTTGCCAGTATTAGCCAGGTAAAACTAATTCTGTGATAAAACTGCACAACTCTTCTGATGTCTGTTTTGGTCTCTTTTTTTTTTTTTCCTCTTCAACTCCCCTACCTTGCAGTACCGTACCAGTGAAAATATCTGCTCTCCTTTCGGACTATTTTGGGACCCTCCATATCATGGATAGCTTCAAAGGTCGAGCGAAGAAGGACTGAAAAAGCGCAAAATTCAGAGACCAGCAACTCTGAAGTGGACCTTGTTAAAGGTGGTGGTGGGAAAGGTCTGCTTTTCTAGCAGCTGTGAACTTAAGGTGCCTCACTTCTCATTAGTAACAATTTTTAAGGAAATAGCTTTTTAATTGGCTCTTAATCAACAGCTTTCACTTGAACTATTTTTTTAATCCAGTGAACTGTTTTCTTTTCACCGCATTATGGAAATACATTAATTGAAATTAGTTCCTTTGGTTATGTCTGTTATAATGCCTTAAATATGATTCTGCATCACAAACTAATAACTGGCAACTTTTGGGGGGGAAGGGACCAAGAAAACACATGTATTTGGCAGGGAGCCAGGAAAGCCTCTAGTGAACCTGACTTTTCGCTGCCATTCACTGAACCATGAGGTGGGCTGTACTGCTGGTGCCGTTACCATTCCCTGGTAAGCTGAGGAATTCAAGAGCTTCCTGAAACAACAGATTTGAATTTGTACAAATGGAAGTTTTGTGAAATGAAAATATGTGCTGTCTTGGTACAAAACCAATGAAATAAATTTTTGGAGGTGGTGATCTCGGGACTCACAGATGACTATGGATGTTGGGGCAGGGAGGGGGAAGCATGTAAATTATGTATTTGTGCTGCTAATCTACTTTTTGTCTAATTCATTTTAAAAGCTAATACTATGCCTGCAACTTTGTAATAGAAGTCTTTGTATCTTCAAAGTGCAGTATTTTAAGAAAAATTTTAAATTTTCATCTCCTAAGCAGAATAAACTTGTAGTTATAAAGCATAAGACTGCCAGTCTAGGTGGGCTATCAAACGTCTTGCCAAGTAAGACACTAAGCTACTAAAAGGAAAGGTATTACATTGTATAATCAGGGCTTCTCTTGGGATTATTTCAGAAAGGAATGATGCTGATAGAAGTGGAATGAATGGGATCATTACAGCCATAGCTTGAGTAACAGCGTTATGTTTTGCTTCTCTGAATTGGGCGGCAGGTTGCCTTGTGTCTACGGAGATTTGTTTTACTTTCCCTTTACTCTTAGGACTATCCGTTTATTTTGGACATATGCTGAGGAGGCCTTGCCCTTTTTGACAATGGCCACTTAAAAAACTGAAAGCCCCCTTGACTTTTTTCTTGTTTTGGATTTACCAAAAGATTATACCTTAAATGTATGTCATTTATGAACATGCTGGCTAAGCCCACCTCATGTCACAGTACTCTACTGGCAATTGGTAACACCTGCAAACTAAGACTAAAATGCATTAGCATGCAATTGATTGAAGGACAGTGTGGAGAAAAGGGTGATTTTTTTTTAATGGTTTATTTTTCCCATAATGGCCTAGAAACTACCTTCATTTCCCTTGTCTATACAATTAGTGAGGTTTACCAGTGGAGAAAGGTTTATGTAGAACTACTTTACTACTGATGAGCAAGAAACCCTGAGTAAAAGAAGCGTGTTAAAAATAGCCTTACCTTTATGACAGATTGATGAGAGTTAGAATTCAGATTGACGAAGAAAAGATTTGTCTTACTGTCCTTTCAGATCTGCAGCTTTGCTACCTCACAAATTCTGCTCATTTTTTCAGTACACTTCAGGAAATGAAAATTACTAATTAAAAAACAGATATTGCCTGAGTGTGCTGTCCAAATGTACATTGCACTGTTCACAAAGTCAACCACTAATAACTGTGCGGTATATCTGCATCTTGTAGACTCCTCACCTTTTTACGCTAACAGAGCACACTTTTCCTCCTAACTATGAAATACTAGGTGTGCAGGATTCTGGAGCAAAGGAGGAGAGAAGTGGATTATACATATGAACAGTATGTATCAAAGCTCTTGTGAAAGCAAGTAGCTTTTCATTCTTAGTGTCTCTGCTTTCAATTTCCCTCAGCAGAACATGTTCACAATGAGTCTGGCTGTGGGATTTGTGGATTCTCAGCAGGTTCAGGTTTGTCACACCACTGGGAGGACCTTACCTGATAATCTGTGCCAGAGAAGTACATCTCCATAGGGATTTTACTGCTTCACAGAATCTTTGAGCTTGGAAAGGACCTCTACTCAGAGCAAGGTCCATTAGAGGCGGTTGCTCAGTACTGTGTCCAGTCAAGTTTTGACTTGACATCTCTAAGGCTGGAGGCTCTACAACTTCTCTGGGCAGCCTGTTCTAGTGTTTCTTCACGCTCAGTTTAAAAACAAATAAATGAAAATTATGTTTAAATGGAATGTACTCTCTTCCAATTTGTGCCCATTGCCTCTCGTCCTTTCAGTGGATACCACTAAGACTCTGGCTCTGTTTTACACCTTCCCATCAGGTACTTATGCACATTGAGCCTGAGCCTTTTCTTCTATAGACTGAGCAGTCCCAGCTCTCTCAACCTCTCCCTGTATGACAGGTGCTCCAGTACCTTAATTGTCTTTGCGGCCCTTCACTGGACTCACTCCAGTATGTTCTCATCTTTTAGAGACCAAGTTCTGTAGTAGGTTGAGTGTGCATAATCTGTCATACAGAGCTTCCCTGGAAAATCTCTGCTAGCTAGCTGTCCTGGTAGGCGTACACAAGTATTGCTTTCATGCAAGTGTGCTGCTACTGCTTTGAATAGTGGTCACTGTCAAGTTACTTTGTGTGACTGGAGGATAATAGCCTATCCTCTTGGTGGTTTTGATCTCCCACGCTTCCTGAGATGGCATGACAGATATGTAGAGTTGTATCCTGGAGGTCAAACAGCACAAATCCTTCCGCTGTGTTCAGGAGGTGGTATGGGGGTGAGAGTTTGGATCTTCAAGTGACATATGAACTTCTTGAGATAAAAGATGGCTTACTTCCAGCATAACAATGATCTTGATTGATTACTTTCCTGATGCCAAGAAGGACTCTTCTTGCTGAGAGCAGGAGGAAAAACTCACAGAAGGATCACTGTGAGACCCAAACAAGAAGGTAGAACATGACATGGAAGAGCATCTCAGTTGTGACAGCATCATGTCTGACAACAGCAGGGGACTGCTTTCTGAAGTACATCAGGCAGCTTCCACAAAGGAATTCTTGGTTTCATGACCTTTCCTTTCCTTGATAAATAGTCTCTAACAAAATGACTGGGTCCAAATTTGACTGGGATGGCTGCATTGGCTTGACAATCACCGATACAGTGATTCAAAGACAGTCAAGAACATGGTATTTTGTTGCCTGTTGTATTTCTTTTCCATGTGAGTTCATATTCCTGCGGTAGCAGAAATCTTACTATCCTCTAATGCTTCAAAGCACAGAGACTATAATTTTTCTTGGCACTAACTTGATCCTCTGAAAAAGACTGAGGAGGAAAACAACAAAAAAAATAGCAGCTGAGATTACAGGCTCTATTATTATGTATTTTATGAGTTTGGAAATCATACCCAAGAGGAATATGCAGCTGCTTGGAAGCTGGTCTTCATGGTGGTCTGATCTCATTTCAGGAAGGAACCAGGCAGGATACCTCTCTTCTGGTAACTTTCCTAGGGGCAGTTGATCTTCTGAAGACACCTATGTGGACTGCATGCTTTGCTAAGCAGGTGTCTAAAACCATAGGTTTTGTAAAATAAATCTTCTAACAAAATAAATTAGCTTCTCTGACTGAGTTTTTCTTCGCTGTGATAGTCAGGAGAGACAGTTTTGGATCCACAGCTATCAGATATTCCAGGAGAATGCAGAACTACTGTCTCTCTGGTGAGACTTAGCGCAGGGTCATTGATGCTTCAGTAGGTGGGGGAGCATTACAGGCAGTGGCTTTTGTCTAATCTGTGTATAACACACTTTCTCTGTAGTCCTAGGTGTCTCCAGCTTGACAGATCTTTTCTCTGCCTGCCAAAGCCACCAAGCTCACAGCCTGAAGTTGCGCAGATAGCATATACCTAGGAAAACATAGCTTTGTCTAGGGAAGAGGGGTGGGGAAAAAAAAAAACCTTCACACCTTCTTTCCTTGCCCTTAGCAATATTCACACTAGGAATAAGAGGGTCCTCATGATCTGGACACAGATATACAAGAAAAGGGTATGACAAAGTCATAGGTTACATGCCAAAGTGCCTTGCGGTGTTGGGTCTGCTGGGTGGTTACTGCTCAATCAAAACACACCTTGATTTTTGGTATAGCTGTGTTGAGAGATGTCACCCTTATCCAAGGTGGTGAAAAACTACATCTAATTAAGGAAACATGGTTCTGTAGGACTTGTGTTGGGATAGTCTTCCACACTCCCTGCCCAGGAGGGAAGAATTACAGAAAAGACCCAGGAGAGGCAGAGCCCTAAGACAGGGTCTGGCATATTCTGACACTTCCTCCTCTCCATGTCTTGAGGTCCAGAGGCAGCATCCCTGGCTGTGGCACAGAAAGAAGAATCAACAGAGCCAGAACATGAGCAGCAGCAACAGTACTGTCAGCAGATGTAGCCAACAGAAAAAAAAAAAAAAGAGGTTTTTGATGAACACGTTTTGTCTGGTGGCACCATAAATTTCATGCCATGAAGGTGCCATGATCTAGGCTATGAAACCTAGGTGATGGTGCAGTCCCACTGGGGAGGAATCTGCATCACCTGTATTAAGTGCATCACTGTAAAAGCAGCTTGCTCAGAGACTAATGCAGAGTGAGATGTGATGGTTGAGGAATCTGTTGAGCCTGCAATCCTCAATGATTATTGCCCAGAAGTGGGAATTCTTGGTGGAGGGCTAATAAGGAGGGTCTTCTCTATATTCATTTTAGAAAATACAGTTTGCATTACTTATTGGTCTGTCTGCATATTTCTGGCATGATAATGGTTGACCCTGAAGCACGCTCATACAATGCACCATGCACAGTTAATTAAATTCCAAAACTGATTTGAGTCATGCTACAGTTAATGCAAAACGGCATACCTGTGTTTTGGGAAGCTTCTAACAACTTAATTTAAGAGAAAGCTGTCAGTTCCAAGTAATCACATCTGTAAAGGATGTGTATCCAGAAGGAAGAAATCTCACCAGAATAGCCAGGTGAGGTGCTTGTTTGAAGTGTTCCCTTCAGGAAGTATGTTATTTCCACGCTCTGGTATTGAGTCCGTCTGTAACAGAGGATGGGAGTAAAATGACAAGGTATCTAGTTGAAATCTTCTGTGTTACAACTCCCTAAAAAAATGAATACCAAGTTAATTTCACAAAAAAATTAAATACTTGAAGCAGGTAGAGCTTGCTTGTAGAAATTGTCTCCACCTGCAGCAACAGGCAGAAATCTGTTTCCAACCTTGCTTCTGAGCCAAGGACTTGGAAGACAGCTATGAAGCTAGTTTCTTCAACTTATTTTTTTACATTGCCAATGAAATGGCTGACTGCCTTCACTCATGCTTTTAGATACAGATAATTTTATCTGCAATAATATTTATATTAACACTTCAAAGATTATAGATTGGTCCTTAGCATTCAGATAATTAAAAACCCAAAGTATCTTTGCTTTTAATTTGTGCGTGATTGTAACTCTGCCTGTGTAAAACAGGTCAGGTTTTCAGATTTCCTTGAAAGGGGAGAGAGCACTTAAACAACAACTTCACGTTCAAGGAATAATGTCCTGTCATTTGCTTCTTCCTAGATTTGGAGAGAGGCAGCTAGTTGATAGGATAGTTTGATAGGAGAGAGCTACAGTTTCCAAAGTGGAAAAGCACCTTAGAGAAGGCGGCTGGAGGACAGATGAAAAAGTAGTGAGGAAGTTTATTTCACCAGTTCAAATGGGAGTCCACGAAATACGTGGAGGGATGCAAGAAAAGAGGGAAGGGTGATATTGGTGATGAGTAATTAG